ATTACAAATCCATTTTGTTCCTTGGATGCTGTGATAGTTTTTTGATTACATTTCTATTGCTCTTTTGCAACACAGTTCCTCAGCCAGTGTTAATTGCATTGACTTTTTGACTTTCTTTGGCTATTTATTTTGCACGTGTGTGATTGGACAAAGCTCCAAGGCATAGAAGATGGGCAGTAATTAGCAAATAGCAGCTGCATCATGTAGAATGTCTTCCTTGAAGCATTGACCCTAGCAGCAGGAGACGTGGTGTGAATTAATGCCTGCTTTCCAAGCAGCATCATAAACAACCTAAAAGAGATTGTATATTTTCTTCCATAGCATCCTCACTGTCTGACCAGTATCCTTGATTCCTTTTTCCAATTTAATACTTGCTGTCTGTCTGTCTGTCTGTCTGTCTGTCGCTTTTGTATACCATCCACTACAAGCATCTTGGGATGGTTTTACAATAAAAAGAGAGCCAGTGTGGTGTGAGAGAGCCTGTGTGGTGTAGTGGTTAAGAGCATGGGACTGGGACTCAGATGATCTGGGTTCTAGTCCCCACTCAGCCATGGAGCCAGCTGACTGGGTGAGTTTGGGCCAGTCACAGACTCTCAGCCCAACCTACCTCACAGGGTTGTTGTTGTGGGGATAAGATGGAGGAGGAGATGTAAGCTGCTTTGAGCCCTTTATAGGAAAAAGGCAGGATATCAATCGAAAAATAAATAAAATAAAAAGCAACACAAAATAAAATGGAGCACTTTGCTCTCACTGGAGACAGTTTTATATTTTGCTTTACTTATATAAGAACTTTTACTTTTGCATTAGAATGCAAGCACACTCCTGATGTAGCAGATGCTGGTGAGAAAGAACAGCAGGGCATGTTGTGAGCATCCAGAATTTTATCACTGGTCTCCCTTGACCCAGCCAAGGTCCATCTAAGCTCTGGCAATGGTTAGTGATAGGCTCTGATAATGCACCACCTCTGTTGCCATTCCTCTGCAGCATCTTTAACCTCAGAAGTATCCTGTTTAAACAAATGGGTTCCATTTAATTACCATGGCTAATAGGATTCATGTGAGCTTAAGTGGACTCCAGGGGGTAGTGGTGGACAGGAAGGCCTGGAGGAATGTTGTCCATGGGGTCGCAATGGGTCTGACTCTACCTCGCAACTAGGAACAACAAATAGGCTTCAATGAGTTCTATCTGTGTGAAGCCTTCGGTCCCTGTGTTTTCTCTAACGCGCACTTAGTATATCGTGTAAACACTTTGGGGAGGTAATGTATGTATCTATATGGTATTTAAATGTCTAGCTTGGTTTAAGATTCTCAGAGCAGCCAATCTGAAGCTGATCCCCCCTGCCCCTCCATTTGCCTCATGTGTTTGTGAGGCAGAAATGCCAAGAATGAGATCAGTAACTGCCTGATGTGTCTACCTTTGGTTTTGGCAAACCTATTCAACTTCTTCTGCGATTAATTTATATCTCACTCTTGTGGGCTCAGATCAGGCAGTAGTTTCCAGTCATAAACAGAGAAAAAAGGCATAAGCTGTCCTTAGAATCTAGAGTCTAGATGAATAATTATTTGAAAAGTTTAAGGATTAGCTTCCCAAATAATGGCACAGCTACTGACTGTCATTTTGTAGATGAATGAATCCAGGTCATTAGCATAACGTGACACACACAATTATAAATGCATGTTATTTATGCTGGAGTAATAAAATGTGGGTAGCCTTGGATTATAGATGTTTCAATAAGTGACAATAAGATCTATAGTGGGATTGTCTCCATTTGCTGCATCGATCAGAAAAAAGTACTTTCAATGGGAGAAATTCCAAATTGTGGCTACTGTCATGACATTTAGCAAATTACAGATTTCCATAAATTACAACTCTTATGGAAAACTGGTATAGTGATAAGAAGTTGATTTCAAATTACCTCTCCTTCCTTCCAAACTGAAATGAGCAGACCATGGCCTTCAAGACAGATCTTCCTGCTGAAAGGCCAACTGCTTCCAGTGCCTGACACTTCTCAGCTGGTCTGCCACTTAACCTGATGCCATACCCAAGGATTAATGATGCAGTGTCTGCCTTCCTCTATTATATAGCATGCTCAGAAACTTTCCCACAGAGTTTGAAACTGTCTGTTTCTCAATATTTGAAACTTCCTAGCACACTGCTAGGTCCACTGACCTTGGCATTTCAGCTGTAGAATCCACCCCCTCCATGTCTGAGAAAAAACCAGTTTCTGCAAGGCCTGCATACTCTTCTGTGGGAAGAGTGGGCCCAGTCATTATATAAATATTCTCTCCTTGGGACGTGCTGTAGGGTTAGGCTAGAGGAGTTTGAAAAAAATCAATGGATGTGTTGCTCCTCTGTCAGCTTTTTTGCCCACCCCAGGAGCCTCTCAGATATCCTTTTAAAGCTTAGTTGCCTGCTCCCTTTCCCAACATTCCTTATATTCTGAACTGCAATATCAGCCTTTTTCAGCCACGAGGTCTTCCAGATGTGTTGGACTACAGCTCCTATCATTCCCAACCAGCATGGGAATGGCTTGTTGGCTGGGAATAACGGGAGTTGCAGTCCAATGGATGAAGAAGGCAGCAGGCTGGGGAAGGATGGAACATGTCTTGTTTCCAAGTAGAAGAGGGCTTTTCCTATGTCCATCAGCAACCACAGTGCAAAGAGATATATACACACACATAAATACACTTCCTCTTTTCATAGTCTGTAGTATACCATCCCCTGATTAGTAGCTGTACTTCCATGGGAGAAGTACAGAGATTTCTAGAACTATAGTTGAGGGCTTGGATAAAAGAATAATAGGCCTCTGCTTTATCTTTTGATTACCCCCTAGAGAATCCTTGAGCTCCTTCCTCTCAGCACCTTATCCTTGCAGAGCTTATGTTATCGTTAGCATATCATCAGCATTTGGTGTTGTAAGTGGAATGGAATGGAATCCTGTGGAAACATTATTTTTCAGTGCTTGCACACAGTTTACCACTTCCATTGGAAACTGCTCTTATGTTTCAACCACACCTTGATACACAACAGAAGGATACCTGTTCTGCAAATGTGAAACAGTTGGAAGGAATGGACAATCTTCCCAAAGCCACCATATCCAACATATGCTGTGTGTGTACAGAACCACTGTTCCATCCAGAAAGAATGACATCATATCTTCCCTTAGAGCAGGAATGGACAATCTCCCCCCCCCCACCCGCCCCATTGCATTCCCTCGGAGGTAGTCTCTTGGTGGGGCAGGATGTACCAGCCATGAGCAGGGCCTGAGCTGTAACAGTCCTACTCTCTGGGTGCTCCATGTGAGGCTCTTACTGTGCAATAGCTCTGCTTCAGCTGTGGAATGTTACAGGGAGGGCAAATGTCCTATTCCATTTGTAAGCCTCTTGTGTCTTCCCACCATTTCTCTCTACCATTTTCTTACTAGATAATAGTCTGTTAAGTGCAGACAACTTTGGCTATTTGGTGATAAAAATGAACTACATAAATAATAAATAAGTAGGAAAAGGTGGAATAGCTGTAGAATGCCTTTTTACGAGTAGTGTTAAGAGCATCCTTCTGGAGAGAGGGGGCGGGCAGTATCAGTGGTGTCCTTCTGCAGGCTCAAGTAATGCTAGAAGAGACCCCGTGAATCTTGCGTAACTGGTAGCAGAACTGTTGACACTGATGATAGTGTAACGACACAGGTGGACATTGGCAGTGCTCTTACTCTTCTGTTGCTGCTCCTGCTCCTGCTTCTGCTTCTTCTTCTGTTTCTTTTTCTGCTCTTCCTCCTCCTGCTTTATTATATTTTTATACCTCCCCACAGCCAAAGCTCTCTTGTTGGTTTAAACCAGATGATAAAAATACAACCCCCTTCCGCCACATAAAATAAAAGAAAACAATACTTGCTCTTGCTCAAGTTCATCACCTCAATACTGGTTTCCCGTTTCTCAAAATTCTGAAGAGGAAAAGACTTCGGCTCTCTTTCCCCTTCCCTGTACCATCTTTGTGTCTCTTCCATACCAAAGATCTGCTGGGCTAGTTCATGCAATCAAATAGCCATGGCTTATTTAAACCACAGTGTGATATGGCACATGTGGGCAGTCATTTTTAATATTTGTTCATGGTTAAGTAACCCTTGCACAATCGGTCTCTGCTGGGTTCAGATGATGCAACTAGTTGCAGCTCTGAATATTCAAAAATGCACATGCTACAACTCACCATGGCTTACTTTATCTTTGCAGACTGGAGATGCCCAGCAAAAAAGCATTATGGTTTGCATGATCATCACAGCTTATTTAAGCCAAGGTGATTGTGAGAAACAGGTTGCTTTCTCCAGTCTGCAGAGATCCAACTGCTGCTGCAGGAAGAATGAGAGAGACCAAAAGGCAGACAAGTTTAGTAGAAACTCTTGCAAGATTGTGTTGTCTAAGAAATGCTGCTTTTGAAATGGTGATGCTAACATGAGATAATTATGCCCTCTTCTACAGTGACCGGGATACTGTCTGCATGCAGTCAGGGTTCAACCAAAAGGGAACATGGGAGTCTAAATAAATAGGCACGACTATTTGTATCCTGGTAACTTCTGTAGAGATGGACTGACTTGGTGCTCTGTATGCCTGTTTCTAGGTCTCTGATGATTAACAGAATTCAATTTTCTCCACTCAGTGCAGAATCGCTACATCATCTGGTTTAAAACCTTGCCTTTGATTTGATTTTTGTGTGTGTTTCTTTATGCCTAACACGTAAATAATAAAAAAATGCTGTGGGCTCCCAAAAGATAAATTATTCAAGTTAAATGGTCTTTAAAATTTGTTTTGTATCCTGGATTTTGGCTCCCTCTCCATGCTAATTAATACCTTGCCTTTTAATCCTGCTCAAGTGTCGTGAATATGGATGAGCCCAGTGTCATGGTCAGAGTCAGTTTGCTTTTGCGATAGCCAACCTTTGAAATTATTTTTTAATGACATGTCTTGTGGAAGGAACTAACCTGCCCATCCCATTCTTCTTTCTTTGTCTAGCACCGAAGACATGTAGCCCCAAACAGTTTGCATGTAAAGATCAGATGACATGCATATCCAAGGGCTGGAGATGCGACGGTGAGAAGGATTGCCCAGATGGCTCCGATGAATCGCCAGATATATGTATGTATCTCTCCCCCACACCTCCCCACTGAATCCACTGGTAATTGTGTTTTGGAACTGTCCAGCATCTCATACTGTTGATATACAATATATGCCTTTCTTTCTCTTTCCTAGTGTGTTGCACGGCTTATGGTGCTTATTGCAGCCTTGAGAAGGTTGTAAGCAGCTGCTGCAAAAAGAGATAGTGATCACATCATCTCCTTTTAGGAAATGCACTGCTCATGTAAGCCCTGTTGCTGAGCATATTGACAGCATCTGAGCTGGGGCATTTCTAAATGCATAAACCAAAATTAGTTGACATCTGCAGCTATGTGCAGCTCCCCCATCTGCCAGCCCTGGTAGCTGGTTCCTTCAAAAGGAACGTCTGATAGTCTGGTTGGAAAATGAATGACCCTGCATGGGGAAGTTAACATGTCAGTGCAAGAGACTTTGGTATATGAGGGCATTTAACCCTGTAGTCCCTTGCCTCCCTTCTGAAGTGGCACACACTCGGGGGATTTGTATGGCATGTGTTTCCTGGATGTATGAAGCTCTTTCTGCTTGATTGGGATTTTAATGTGATAGCAAGGATGTAGACCTCACTGGAAAATTAGCACACCCCTTTTCCAGTTCCTTTGTAGCATAATAAATATCCAGTTCTGGAGATTGCCCAGGTGATCATTTTGATATTTGAGGAAGGTCATGTTCCCCCACCCACATCCCCCATAGTTCTTGTGGAATGTCTCTTCTCCCCACAGTTGAAGGAAGCGAAGTGCATCTCTTCTCTCTAACATCTGAGTGTATGTTTCCCCTGATTTCTTAGCGTATTCCTTTTCTTGAAAATAAAATATCTCCTGCAGCAGGGCTAGCTTGTCCTCTACCTGGACTAGGTTTGTTTTTTTAAGCTGAAAAATCCCTTGCTGCTTCTGCTTCTTATACTTTGGAGATATTCCTGCCCTGCATTCCTTCTGGAGGTCTCTAGGAAGGAGCTTCTCAAGGTCTTCTGCTCTGCTGAAGGGACTTAAGAAGGTGCTTTCTGCTAGAGCAACCAGTTGTGTCTACTCTGGAATTGGCCATCCAGGATAGCAGGCAAAGTTTTTTTTTAAAATCATGTACTACACAGTTCCTTGTAACTGGACTTGTGAGGACTGATCCTGAGAGCTTCTACATGCAAGGCATGTTTTCTGCCTGTAACTTAGACTCCATCCTCAGATTATAGCAGGCATGTGCAAAATCTGCCCCACCCTCACTCTGAATGTAACTAGTGTTAGCAAAACACTTTGGCTTCCATTGAACTTCGCCGGCTGAAGAGGTGCTCTGATTTACTTTTTTTTCCTTCAAATTTTGACTAAAGCAAACCATCAGTTGCAACTCTTCTTCCCTGGCCTGCCACTAATCAAAGATCAGGTAGTTAGGTACAATGGACAGGGCCTTTACAGTGGTGGCCCCATTATTCCTTTCCTGTGGAGCCCTGCTATGCCCTCTATTTGCTTCACGTCAGAGAGAGCTTGAAAACTTAAAAAAAATGCTCAATTGACTTTGATTTTTTTGACTAATAATAAGTTTTAACAGATGTGTCTTATTTAAATACACAGTGATGTATTCATGGCTTTTATGCTTATTTTTGCAAGCTGCTTCAGGAAGATTTTGTCCTAAAACTAGAACGTAAATAATCTAATCTAATCTAATCTAATCTAATCTAATCTAATCTAATCTAAATTAAAATAAAGGTGTATGCATTGGACCCAAGATAGAAATAGAACCAATTTTGCAAGCTGCTTATAAATAGGTTAAAGTTATACACATAGATCAAACCTTATGATGTGCAGGTTGGGCAGAACATCAAGCAGCCCAAGTGAGTGAGCAAGCAAAAAGACTTTGGCACAGGTTCCAAGCTCCCTGGTCTTGAGAAGAGTGAGGAACCTTAGAATTGGGGGCTAATTGTGGCTCTTCTTGTGTCCCAGTCCTGCCCTCTGGGATTCTCCAGAAGACCACACACCCTTTCCTTGGGCCAACCCACTTTCCCATGACTAGCAAGCATTTGGTAGTTTCTCAGCTTTTGTGCACTTTTCCCCCTATTCTAAGATGATGAAATGCCTCACCTAGAGCGCAAAAGTTGGCGATCAAACCAGTCAGTCCTAGAGGAGATCAGTCCTGACTGCTCTTTAGAAGACCAGATCCCGAAGATGAAACTCAAATACTTTGGCTACCTAATGAGAAGGAAGGACTCCCTGGAGAAGCGCCTAATGCTGGGTACAATAGATGGCAAAAGGAGAAAGAGACAGCAGAGAATGAGGTGGCTAGATGGAGTCACTGAAGCAGTCGGTGTGAGCTTGAGTGGACTGTGGGGGATGGTGGAGGACAGGAAAGCCTGGAGGAATGTTGTCCATGGGGTCAAGATGGGTCGGACACAGCTTTACAACTAACAACATACTCTAGACCAGGGCTCCTCAAACTTTTTCGATAGGGGGCCAGTTGAAAGGTGGTGGCTACATGCAGGGGCTGGTGAGGTGGGGGTGCCATTGGGTGCGCGAGGTGACTTGCTCACTTGGAGACCATTCCTGATCAAGCGAGCCACCCCCCCCACCACGCTGCAAGGCAGCAGCGAGCACATGCATACAGGAGGCAGGCGGCGGATTGCTCGCTTGGAGATCATCTCCGAGCAAGCAAGCCACCATCTCCCCACCTGCGCAGCAAGCACGTGCGTGGGTGGCGAACGGCGGCGCAGGCTGCATGGATGGCCATGGCAGGCCAGATCCGTCCCATGGGTTGTAGTTTGAGGACCCATGCTCTAGACCAAGGATATTAAAGCTCCTTCTGCCTGAGGGGGTACATTTCAGGCATACGTGGAACCTAAAGATAAAACAGGTGAGTCCAAAATACAAAAAACAAAAAACCCCCCAAGCATTCTGTAGTTTACTGCCAGTAACTAAGCCTTGTTGTTGTTGTTGTTGTTAGTCGTGAAGTTGTGTCCGACCCTTTGTGACCCCATGGACAACATTCCTCCAGGCCTTCCTGTCCTCCACCATCCCCCACAGTCCACTCAAGCTCATACCAACTGCTTCAGTGACTCCATCCAGCCACCTCATTCTCTGCCATCCCCTTCTTTTGCCATCTATTGTTTGCAGTATTAGGTTCTTCTCCAGGGAGTCCTTCCTTCTCATTAGGTGGCCAAAGTATTTGAGTTTCATCTTCAGGATCTGGCCTTCTAAAGAGCAGTCAGGGTTGATCGCCTCTAGGACTGACCGGTTTGATTGCCTTGCGGTCCAAGGGAATCACAGGAGTCTCCTCCAGCACCACAATTCAATGGCCTCAGTTCTTCAGCGCTCAGCCTTCTTTATGGTCCAGCTTTCACAGCCATACATTGCAACTGGGAAAACCATAGCCTTGACTATACGCACTTTTGTTGGCAGGGTGATGGCTCTGCTTTTTAGTATGCTGTCTAGATATGCCATAGCTTTCCTCCCCAGGAGCAAGCCTCTTTTAATTTCTTGGCTGCAGTCCCCATCTGTGGTGCTCTTGGAGCCCAGTAAGATAAAATCTATCTCTACCTCTATTTCTTCCCCATCTATTTGCCAGGAAGTGAGAGGACTGGATGCCATGATCTTAGTTTTCTTAATGTTGAGTTTGGTCTAGAGTATAGCTTGCTGCATATTTTTTCCATTGACCAACTATGAATGCAACAAGGACACGTGGGAAGCAGGCCCTCCAAACATGTAAATGAGGCGTGGATGCATGTGAACAAGTTTCATTTTAAGCCCTGTACAAATAGATCACCACCACATGAAACAGTCTTGGTTCAATGGAAATATTTCCATAGAGCCATTATAGGAAGATCTCCTTGCTATGCATATCTCTCTATATTAGTGGAAACACATCAGAAAATGCTTTGAATCATTCCAGCATTATCTAGACATGTCACTAAGTTTAAGTGAATCGTGGACAGTTTTTTTTTTTTTAAATTAAACAAGGATGCTTCCTTTTCTTTTTAAAATTAAATTTCTTTTTTGAAATTTCATTAAAAATCACATTTGGTTAATGTTATCATTAATCAGGTAAGTGAGAAATGATTTGTTACAAATCTTGAATAGATTTTATCAGATAATGCACTTTCTCCTACTGAGAAATTAATGGGAAGGCAAAGCTGGCTATTAAACTGGATACAGTCATGATTAGTCATCAGTCCCACACCTACACTTACCAGTTTTATTTAAACCATGGATAATTATTAGCAGTCATTTTGCTTTTCATGCTGCTACCCTTACAAGATAGAACTTTCTTCCCACTGTCATCATGTCTCCCAGGAGTATTTGCTATTACTTAGAAAATGACAAACCTGTTTTTGTGCTGACTTTCAGCTCCTTTTAAAAAATTAAGAGTTTTTACAGCCTTTGGCCCACTTATTCTTAAAAGGTACTTTTACAATCAATAGTATAGCCCCCACAATTAGGGGTTGGAGGTTGTATGTATAACGACTCAACACTGAGCACCTGACATAGAAGAGAAACAACAAAAATGAATGGCTAGAGAGTAATGCTGTGGTCCTTGCAGAGTGTCTGAGGGGCCATAGGATGACTTGGAAATCCCTTTCCAAGATTGAACACAGTGCTCTGATCTCAGAACTGTGCCAGAGACATCCTAATGTCCCCTTGCTAGATGGGCTGAAAAATCTATTAAGTGAAAATAAAAAAGGCAGCTGATAGGAATCTTGGAAGAGATGGAATCTTGGAATCTTGCAGAGATGATAGCAGCAGGACAATACCATTGCTCTGTTTGTGGCCAGGAAGCAGCTTCTTCCAGATCAGAATGCTCAGTTATTGTGCCAATTATGAGACAATCTCATATTTTAATATAAAACAGCTTGCAGGATGGAGGGAAAGGAGGAGGACTAAAAGCAGAGAGAGAGGAGTATTTGTTTGAAAGAGGGAGAAATGGGTCTTTGGGATCTAGTCCGACATAAAAATTAGCTCTGAGAAAAAATGAACCTTGTCAGAAAAGACAGTTCTCCATCTCAAACTTGA